AAATAAATAAATAAAAGCCCAATTTTAAATTGGGAAGACAGTGGGATAGAAGTGGGAAGATACTTTCCAAGTCTAAGCCTGAAGCTCAACTTCCTAAGGCCTATTTTCTCTGTTGCAGGAGAGGAAAAATCGCTGATTTTGAAGTGTGCGTGCCTGTGTAAGGTCAGCATTCCCCTGTTACGCCAGGCTACTACCACACCCTGCTGCTACCGAGACCAGGCTGCTGGCTGTGGGCGTTTACCAGGAACCTCCACCAGCTAGAAGCAGGGCTCCTTACACAGTTCTGTAAGGCCCAGTGATTAATCTTACAACCCTGTGATAAACTCCTGGATCCCTTCTTTAATGGCTTCATAGTAAGAAACAGAGGCGCAGCACTGAAGAGCTCCTTGTGCTGCCTATATACAGGGTGCCCATCACAGCAGAGCACCTTCGTGCTTCTCTGGCTTTCTGCACCTCCAGCTGTCTAGCTACCTCCTCTTCCTTCAATACATGTTTGTTAGACACAAAAAAAAGTTTCCCATAGGATAATAAAATAAGATCCCGCATGCCAACCAAGTCCTGGCATGGTGGCACACGCCTGTCGCAGCACTGGAGAGGCTGAAAACAGGACTATCACTATGAGTCCGAGCTACATAGTGAGACTCCATACCAAATACATAAACGGAAAAAAAAAAAAAAGGAATAATAAGCTGGCAAGATAGCTCAGAAGTCTAAAGCGCCTGCTTAGGCAAGCCTAGGCAAGTACAGGGATCCTGGTTCGATCCCTGGCATCACAGGCTGTGCCAGCCCCACCCCAGGGATCACTAAACCAGCCACAGAGCTAGGTGTAGTGGCGCATGCCTGTAATCCCAGCACTGGGGAGGCTGAAAACAGAAGTATCACTATGAGTCTGAGCTGGGTAGTGACATCCTGTAACAACCTAATAATAATAATAATAATAAGCTAGCCAGTTGTGATGTCACATAACTGAGGCACTGAGGGAGGTTCAGGCAAGAGGATCACAAGTCTGGGTCCTACCTAAGGCAATTCTGTGAGATCCTGTCTCAAAAGGAAAATGAAAAGGGCTGGCTCAATGAAGAGAGCCATTTTTGGATTAAATCCTCTGTGTTTCCCCCTTCAAAAAACCCAAAAAGCTTACTACTGCTCTCACATGAAAAGAGAAAGTCTATCAAAATGAACACATTAAAAAAAAAACAAAAAACACCTGATTGTCTCATTAAACTCACACTTGAGTTATTCGGATCAGGACCCTGCACCAGGCTCACTAGCACAGCAGCTGCCTGGCGTGCTCCAGCCCTGGTTTCTATCCTAAACACTGTGAGAAAAAGTCACGACTCATTCACAATTAGGTCTTTTGCACAACAGAGCTAAAAAAATAAACAAAAAAAACCCCTTCGCTCACCCGATAAATATTCTCTTCCAGATCTGTATGGATAGTATACACTGCCTGCCTAATGTCAGAAGCCAACTCCCACAAACGAAAGCAAAGTCCCACTAACTAGTTCCCTTCTGTTTAACAATGTAATGACTAGAGGGGCTTTCTGGTGCCAACATTAAAAAAAAAAGAAAGAAAGAAAGAAAAAAAACTGAGAAGGAAAAAGCAAGCTGTCAGAATAAAGCTTCATAAAGTTCTGAGAGAGAGATGAACAGTGCAGAGAAACCAAGAGCTTCCCTGGCCTTTGTGTTCATGGTTT